ACATCACAAAAATAAATATAATGCTATGTTTGTTTTATAAATATCAAATGTATATTTACATGGAAATATTTATGAAACTGGTAGCAATGTTTGCCTCCTGTGAGGTAACTGAGAGGCTAGAATAGGAGACAAACATTTTCTATTATCTATCGTTTTGTATCTTTGAATTTTGCTCCATATGGATGTATCATCAATTTGCAAGTTTTTAGTCTAAAATTACATTTAAATTCCTTTCTAAATTTACCCACATATGATAGGTCTATCTTTAATTTGTAGAAGTTCTACATTTGGGATTATTATCATTTTAGAGAAGTTTACTGTGATGAAACAATACTAAATTAAACTAAACTAAGCTAAACTTTTATCCTTAGCACTCTTTTATCCTAGCTCTACCTGATCTGTGAGTCATCATAGAAATGCTTTACCCAGAGGTTGCTAGTATGCTATTGCCAGCACTTTAAAAGAAGGTTCTCAATTATTGATATATATTTTTCTCTATTCATGTGGCATGTTATGAATGGGAGTAATGGCAAAGTTAATGGTCTATTGAGTATCTATTATAAAATAATTAAAGATTTTTTTTATAACTCAATCTATTTTATTTTGCATTAGACTGTCACTTAATGCAAGGGACTGTTTATCGGAAGTCGTATTTCCTACAATGACTTTTTGTGCTAGAGATCAAGTGGTTAGGTTTCAAACTATTCCAGTGGGATAATGGTACACAGAGTGTTTCTGCTTCTGTTTAAAAAGTGAAAAAACAGAACATCAGGGTAGATGAGAGGTGTGCACTAAAAAGTTATACCAGACATGAGATAAAAGGTTTATGTTTTCAATTCCATTGTAGATATCTTTTTTCCCCCTTCCAGCTTCATTGAGATATAATTTACATAAAATATTGTGTACGTTTAAGGTGTACAAAGTGTTGACTTGATACCCTTACCTATTGCAAAATCATATTGCAGGTATAAGTTCATGTAGGTCTGTGCTGTTACCCTTCAACATAACAACAGGACTGGGTGCAGGACTTTGCCAGGATGGTTTTCTTCAGAGGAACCAGCACCAAAGCCTTGTGATGAAAATGATGATGAAGATTAGGAGAGATATCTTTGAACAAGCAGAACTATTACTTAATATAAGAACTAATGCACATAGGGCACTTTGCAAGAGTCTGGCAGAGAAAGGGGGCTCAACATAGAATTATTATTGGAATGAGGAGAGGTTTATTGTAGTCTCCTGGGCCACAAGTTGTGTTTGGGGTCATAAGATAAGGGCTGCCCATATTCCACAATTCTTAAGAGCTGCCAAGTCCCCGTGCAATGTTTCCCACCTACAGGTACCACCATAGTGAACCGCATTCATGATTTGTTCTATCTCTAGGCACCAGTTACACTATTATTAACACAGGTAGAGAGTGCTGGCATGCTGCTGTCCATGGGGTCACAAGGAGTCGGACATGACTGAGTGACTGAATTACAAGAGAGTTTTTAAATCGTTAATTCAAGCTGGCTTTGCTCTCTACTTTGCTAAGCTTTGTTCAAAGCAATAACCACGGATTTTAGGTGTCAGTGACATATGTAATATGCATATAATATTAGGATAAAATATGTATATCATACTAGAATAAAAAATGCTTGTCTGTGAACCTGCTGAAAGCATGTCGACCCATGTAGCTTATTGACCCAATTGCCGTGTAACTGCCTTCCATAACCTGAAGTGGACCCTGTGAGACTCTTGGCAGATATTCCTCCTCCTCATGGCTTCCCTGGTGGCTCAGTGGTAAAGAATCCACCTGCCAATGCAGGAGATGCAGGTTCTACCCCTGGGTCAGGAAAGTCCCCTATAGAAAAAGATGGCAACCCATTCCAGTATTCTTGCCTGGGAAATCTCATGGACAGAAGAGTCTGGTGGGCTATGGTCCAAGGGGTCGCAAAGAGTTACACATGACTTAGCTACTAAACAACAGTAGTGACAACCACTCCCCTTCACATCCTAGATTTGGTTGGGGTGGCTACTTCAGAGCTAACCATGCTGGCTAGCCATGCTGGATAATCACTGGCTAACCATGCTGTGTGCACACACTTTCAGAGCAGAAAGCTCTTCTGGCTCCTAGCCACGCGTGATTAGACCTGCATGTATTCATGTGTCTGTGTGTCCATATTCTGGTGGACATTTGCATCGCTGCTGGTCTCAGCTCCGAAAGGACACTCTCTGATAAATATACTCCAGTCAGTTATTTAAGAACCAGAGCACCTTATGTGGGTAGTGAAGATGTTAAAAGGGTGGGAGTGTTTTGGGGGAAGAGCCCCAGTTTGTGTGACCTCTCTGGCAAAGCCTCAGGTTACAGAAGAGTGAGAGGTTGTGGAAAACCTTATCTTTTGGCATTAGCCTAAGATATATTGGCTTAGATAAAATCATGCATACAAAAGAATATAAGGCATACCTTGTTTTTATTACACTTCAAGGTATTGCCCTTCACAGATGTGTTTTTTGCAAATTCAAGGTTTATGGCAACCCTATATTGATCAAGTCTATTGGTGCCATCCTTTCCAACAGCATTTGCTCCCTTTGTGTCTTTGTGTGACATTTTGGTAATTCGTGGAAAATTTCAAACTTTTTCCTTATCCTGTTTGTTATGGTGATCTGTGATCAGTGATCTTTGATGTTACCATTGTTTTGGGGGACCACAAACATCAACCATATAAGACAGCAAACAATTGATAAATATTGTGGTGTCTGCTTCACTCTTCTGTCTCCCTCTCCTTGGGCCCTCCAATTCTCTGAGGCAGAATGATGTTGAAATTAGACCAATTAATGACCCTACATTGGCCTCTAAATGTTCTAATGATAGGAAGAGTTGCATGTTTCTCACTTTAAATCAAAAGTTAGAAATGATTAAGCTTAGTGAGGAAGATATGTCAAAAGCTGGGATAGGCGAAAAGCTAAGCCAAATTGTGAATGCAAAGGAAAACTTTTTGAAGGAAATTAAAAGTGCGACTCCAATGAACACACAATGATAAGAAAACAAAACAGCCTTACTGCTGGCATGGAGAAAATTTTAGCCTGGAGAGAAGCTCAAAGGAGCCACAACATGCCCTTAAGCCAAAACCTAATCCAGAGTAAGGCCCTAACTCTCTCTCTTCAATTCAGTGAAAGCTGAGAGAGGCGAGGAAGCTGCAGAAGAAAAATCTGAAGCTGTTAGAGGTTGGTTCATGAGGTTTGAGGAAAGAAGCCATCTCCAGAACATGGAAGTGGAGGGTGAAGAATTAAGTGCTGACATAGAAACTTCAGCAAGTTATTCAGAATATCCAGCTAAGATAACTAATGACGGTGGCTACACTAAACAACAGATTTTTATTTTTATTTATTTATTTTTTACATTTAGGGTTTTTTTTTCTTTTTTTTTTTTTTTCATTTATTTTTATTAGTTGGAGGCTAATTACTTTACATCATTGCAGTGGTTTTTGTCATACATTGAAATGAATCAGCCATGGATTTACATGTATTCCCCATCCCGGTCCCCCCTCCCACCTCCCTCTCCACCCGATCCCTCTGGGTCTTCCCAGTGCACCAGGCCCGAGCACTTGTCTCATGCACCCAAAAACAACAGATTTTTAATGTGGATGAAACAGCCTTCTATTGGAAGAAGATATCACTTAGAGCTTCCATAGCTAGAGAGGAGAAGGCAATGCCTGGTTTCAAAGCTTCAAAAGACAAGTTGAAACTAATAAAAATAAATGAAAAAGAAAAAGACAAGTTGACTCTCTTGTTAAGGGCTAATGCAGTTGGTAACTTGAAGTCAAAGCTAACACTAATTTACCATTCCAGAAATCCCAGAGCCCTTAAGAATTATTCTAAACCTACTCTGCCTGTGCTCTACAAATGGAAAACTAAAGCCTAGGTGATAGCTCATCTCTTTAGTATCTAGTCTTCTGAACATTTTAAGCCTACTGTTAAGACCTAGTGCTCAGGAAGAAAGATTCCTTTCAGCTCCTTGACAATGCACCTGGTCACCCAATAGTTAGGATGGAGATGTACAATGAGATTAATGTTATTTTCATGTCTGCTAACACAACGTTCATTTTGTAGCCCATGAATCAGGAAATAGTTTCTACTTTCAAGTCTTACTATTGAAGAAATAGATTTCATCATGCTCTAGCTGCCATAGATAGTGATTTCTCTGATGAATCCAGGCAAAATCAGTCAAAAACCTGAAAAGGATTTACCATTGTGTATTCTATTAAGAACATTCGTGATTCATGGGAAGAGATCAAAATATCAACATTACCCAGAGTTTGGAAGGAGTTGATTCCAACCCTCATGAATGACTTTGAGGGTTCAAGACTTCAGTTGAGAAAGTAACTGCAGAAGTCATAGAAATACCGGGAGAACTAGAGTTAAAAGTGCAGCCTGAAGATGTGACTAAACTGTAATCTCATGATAAAACTTTGACAGATGAGGAATTGCTTCTTATAGATGAGCAAAGAAAGTGGTTTCTTGAAATGGAATCTACTCCTGGTAAAGATGCTGTGAAGACTGTTGAAATGACAAAAAAGGGATTTAGAATATTACATAAACTTAGTTGATAGAGCAGTCACAAGGTTTTATAGGATTGAGTACAATTTGAAAGAGTTATCCTCTGGGTAAAATATTATCAAACAGAATCACATGCTACAGAGAAATTTTTTGTGATAGGAAGACTCAATCAACGCGGCAAACTTCATTGTTGTCTCATTTTAATAAATTACCACAGCTGCCCCAACCCTCATCAGCCAGCAGTCATCAGCAAGAGGCAAATCTCTCTACTAGGAAACCAGGAAAGTGATTATGACTCTCTGAAGGTGCAGGTGATCGTTAGCATTTTTTTTTAAAGCAATATAATATTTTAAAATTAAGGTATGTACATTTTTTTTAGACATTATGCTATTGCACACTTAATAGACTTCAGAGAAATGTAAACATAACCTTTATGTGCACTGAGAAACCAAAAAATTCATGACTCATTTTATTTTGATATTTGCTTTATTGCACTGGTCAGGAGTTAAAGATTCAGCCTGTAATGTGGAGGAGATGCAGGAGACACAGGCCCGATTCTGGGTCAGGCAGATCCCCTGGAGGAGAGCATGGCAACCCAGTCCAGTATTCTTGCCTGGAGAACCCCATGGACCTGAGCCTAGTGGACTGCAGTCCATGGGGTCACAAAGAGTCAGGACACGACTAAAGCGACTGAGCACTGGTCTGGAACCAAACTTGCAAACAGTGTCAAATTTTTTGGGGTTTTTCTTAAAATCAGTTAAAAACTCCAAAGCATTTGTCTCTGAGGTGTGCCTGTATAAAATGAAAGGGTTTTGTTTACAAAAATTAAAAAATCGGCCACTCATATGTCTACCAACCCAGCTTAAGAAACAGGCTATTACCAGCCCCTTAGGAAGTGCCCGTGTGCCCATTTCTGAACATAACTGCCTCCCTGGCTTCTCTTGGGAACTACCTTTCTGAATTTTGTTTTGTTTTACAGCTGTAATGGTTATGTATGTATTCCTGAATAACATAGTATTTTATTTTATCTGCCTTTGAACTAGAAATAGATGGAATCTTTGACAACTTGGATTTTTTTTTTTTTTTTTGCTCTGCATTTTATTTTTGAGCCTCATCTAGTCCTGTCTTTTCTCTCCTCTTCGCAGACCTCCAGCCCAGATCCCCTCTGGGATTCTTGCATTTATCTCCTGACCAGGCTCTCTGTTGACAGACTCTTCCCTCCAGAATTCACTGTGCAAACCACCACCAAATCCTCACGTTCAAATGGGAAGTTATATTTAAAACTATTTTCCAGCAGTGTATTCAAGTGGCCTGAGAAATGTTTACCTTTAAAATTTTGCATGAAAAAAAAATTTTGTATGACTACAGATTACAATGGAGACGGAAATGGCAACCCACTCCAGTATTCTTGCCTGGAGAACCCCACGGACAGGGGAGCCTGGTGGTCTGCTGTCCATGGGGTCAAACAGAGTTGGACACGACTGAAGCGACTTAGCATTCTTGCATGCATAGATTACAAATCACACAAAATCTTAACAATGACTCTCTCTGGATGGTAGGATGATAAATAGCTTATTTTTTTTTTATTTGTGATTTTTTTCTATTCCCCAACTTGTCAGTGGAAGCTTTGGATAGAAGGTTCAGGTCTTCCCTGCTTTTATCTTCTCCCACTGGTTTCTGAGGTCTGGCCTGGTGAAGAGGTGGGCGTGTGGGGTACAAGAGCAGAACACGGAGATCCTTTCTCAATGATACTCGTATTCAAAGCCACAGCCTTTCTTTTCCACCCTCAGGCCAGCACATCATTATTTCCTCTGAGTGAGGCAACCGGGCCCTTCAACCATTCTTGAAAACAGTGCCAGCATCGTGTGCCACCTTTGCAATCACACAGGAGCCTGCACTCAGAAGGGCTTTCTGCTGCTATGCTGTCTTGATTTTATTTTTGAACCTATGTTTTGTATGTGAAATTGGGTGAGACAGTGGAGCAGAGGGCATATTCATGCATTGTATGTTTGCTGTTCCTGTTGCCACATGAGCATAGACTTCTGGTTGTCCCAAGTGTTTGTGAGTTCGGCAAGATTTAAGAATGTTTCATCTTTGATTGAGTAAGTAGGGGTGCTGACAGCCCTGAGAGGTCATGCCTTCCATTCAAACCAGGACTTGTTCTGAAGCTAGAAAAAGGGCCATAGTATTCTAAAGACATGAACAGTCACGGAATCTTATATCCTGAAAATGAAGACATAGAAGGAAAGGGAAATATAGGGCACTCCATAGTTCCTTTTCCTTTTAGCCCTTCCTTACTCATCAGAAAGTTGAAAGTAGAGGGTTGGTGGAGTGAGCACATATCAAAAAGTGAAATAAAAACAACTTTTTTGTGTGTGTGCAGTAGTTTCCATTGTTCTGGTAAGAATGAAATACATAAGCACCTACAATCTACAAAATATGAATTAGATCTTTTTAATGATTCTGCTTATAATTTGAATGCTCTTATATTTGCATTTAAAGTGGATATTTTACAATATAAAAATAAACAATGAAATTCAGGCTAATATTTTCAATTTTTGTTTACTTTTTGTTTTGTTTAGTCACTAAGTTGTGTCTGACTCTTTGGGACCCCATAGACTGTAGCCTGCCAGACTCCTCTGTCTGTGGGATTTCCAGGCAAAAATACTAGAGTGGGTTGCCATTTCCTTCTCCAGGGAACCTTCCTGACCCAGGCATCAAACATGTGACTTCTGCATCAGCAAGCAGGTTCTTTACCACTGAGCCACAAGGGAACTCCCTTTGTTTACTTAGAATATCATTAAACAACAATATTTTTTTAAACATGGCAAGTTGAGAGAGACTGTGGGAGAACCATTAACAGTACCTTTTGGGCCAACACCCCCCTCCACCCCCCACCGCAAATTATAATTCCAAAACTATAGTTTATGTTGCCTTGCGGCTCATGAAATCCCAGGCCTTTTCTCTAAAACTCTTGTCTCTGCCATGACTTCCTAAAGCCCATTTCAAGACCTAGAAGTCAAGAGTTGACTCTTCTTTCTAAATCTCTGTAATATCCATACCCTGAGGGAACAGGCTGGGGTAGAGAAAGCATAGGAAAATCACACTGGTTAAAATCTCAGAATAGTGCCCCACCCATGTTAAAAACAAAAACAGAACACCTAGCGAGCAGAAATTCCTTAAAGGCAAGGACCTTCTTCCTCTTGTGCTTCAGTTCAGTTCAGTCGCTCAGTCATGTCCGAACCTTTGCGACCCCATGGACTGCAGCACACCAGGCTTCCCTGTCCATCGCCAAATCCCAGAGTTTACTCAGACTCATGTCCATTGAGTCAGTGATGCCATCCAACCATCTCATTCTCTGTCGCCCCCTTCTCCTCCTGCCTTCAATCTTTCCCAGCATCAGGGTCTTTTCAAATGAGTCAGTTTTTCACATCAGATGGACAAAGTATTAGAATTTCAGCTTCAACATCAGTCCTTCCAATGAATATTCAGGACTGATATCCTTTAGGATGGACTGGTTGGATCTCCTTGCAGTCCAAGGAACTCTCAAGAGTCTTCTCCAACAACACAGTTCAAAAGCATCAATTCTTTGGTGCTCAGCTTTCTTTATAGTCCAACTCTTACATACATACATGACTACTGGAAAAACCACAGCTTTGACTAGACAGAACTTTGTTGGCAAAGTAATGTTTCTGCTTTTTAATATGCTGTCTAGGTTGGTAAGAACTTTTCTTCCAAAGAGTAAGCGTCTTAATTTCATGGCTGCCATCACCATCTGCAGTGATTTTGGAACCCAAGAAAATAAAGTCTGTCACTGTTTCCACTGTTTCCCCATCTATTTCCCATGAAGTGATGGGACCAGATACCATGATTTTAGTTTTCTGAATGTTGAGCTTTAAGCCAACTTTTTCACTCTCCTGTTTTACTTTCAACAAGAGGCTCTTTAGTTCTTCTTCACTTTCTGCCATAAGGGTGGTGTCATCTGCATATCTGAGGTTATTGATATTTCTCCCAGCAATCTTGATTCCAGCTTGTGCTTCCTCCAGCCCAGCATTTCTCATGATGTACTCTGCACATAAGTTAAATAAGCAGGGTGACAATACAGCCTTGACGTACTCCTTTTCCTATTTGTAACCAGTCTGTTGTTCCATGTCCAGTTCTAACTGTTGCTTCCTGACCTGCATACAGATTTCTCAAGAGGCAGGTCAGGTTGTCTGGTATTCCCATCTCTTTCAGAATTTTCCAGAATTTGTTGTAGTCCACACAGTCAAAGGCTTTGGCCTAGTCAATAAAGCAAAAGTAGATGTTTTTCTGGAACTTTCTTGCTTTTTTGATGATCCAGCAGATGTTGGCAATCTGATCTCTGGTTCCTCTGCCTTTTCTAAATCTAGTCTTGAACATCTGGAAGTTCACAGTTCACATACTGTTGAAGCCTGGCTTGGAGAATTTTGAGCATTACTTGGCTAGCGTGTGAGATGAGTGTAGTTGTGCGGTAGTTTGAGCATTCTTTGGCATTGCCTTTCTTTGGGATTGGAAGGAAAACTGACCTTTTCCAGTCCTGTGGCCACTGCTGAGTTTTCCAAATGTGCTGGCATATTCAGTGTAGCACTTTCACAGTAGTGCTTACCATGGAGCTTTCCTATAATAGGGACTTAATAACTGTCTATTTTCTCAATAAACATTTTCTCACTTAAATTTAAAACAGTCTTTTTACATCAGACCTTTCTCAAACAACTTCAAAGGCTCTCTTGCTTTAATCTACAAATTGAAACTCTTAATCAGGCATTTTCAGTTCTATAATCTGGGTTCAATCTTTTCCTAATTCATCTCCCAAAACTCCCTAGAACTCTGTTAGTAATGGTTGAACAAATATGGGATGATTGGATTACACAGCTCCCAGGAGTTACAGAAGCTACTGATGGATAAATCATTAGCTCTTTTTAGGGTTACGTAATACACGTGAGCTCACATTAATGTCCCAATCCTGGGACCTGGTGATGAGTGTTACAGACCCTAAATGAGAGTCGTAAGATATTTGATCTCAAAAAAGTCATCTTTGCAAGATCACATCCTAGCTTCTGCAGAAATTGGGGACCCAAAGCTAGTCAGAGAGAAGCCTGCACCTGTTTTTTAGTCCTCCTGGAAGTGTGTGCGCTACCGCCCTGTGGCGCTCCCCACCTGGACTCTTGCAAATTCTTGAACTTTGAGGGCCATGAAATCATAGCGTAGCATTACTAAGCATCAGAATTTCATATGCTAGTAACGAGCCATTAAGGAAGGTTTAGGGCAGAGACAAGCTTTTAAGGCAGTATAACCCAAGCAGTGGCTGTTCTCAGTGTACCTTTGTGGGAATCAATTGTGTTTCTCACATGTCTGCATGGGGGAGATTCTTAACCTGATGGGGCTGGGAGAAACTTCAAGAGCCATCACATCCATTCCCCCTGTCTTTAGATTAGAAAACCCTTAAATTTTTTTGAAAAATTACCAATCTATCTGCAAACATAGGGGGTTAGGGGGAGGAACCTGCATGAAAACCTGCAACAACCTCACATGAAAACTAGAAGGAAATATTTGAGTTAAAAGTGAATCACAACAGCACCTTCTTATCCTTCCTTCAAAGTGCCCCAGCTAAGAGCAGAAATGAAAAACACTGATGTACCCTTTAGTGGAAGACATCCCAAGGCCTGGGGCTTACACTGTTTTCTTGTTTCTTATCCTTTTTCAGTATAAAACATTTATCCATTTTGTAAGACATACATTTAGTGCATTACTTTTAGCAGCTGCATGTTATTCCATAATATCTGCTACATTTTATTTCCTCTCTGTATTGCATACATACAATACATACTAAGCTTGCCAACAATATGCTGCTAATTCAAGTGCTGCTGTGATGACTATTCTCAGTTGTACCCCTTTACAGACATGTTTCAAGATTTTCTTAAAGGTATATATTCCTAGGAGTGAAACTGCTAGGCCATTAGGAAAACATATGCTACTTTTTCTTTTCTTTTGA